GGGGCTAAGACAGGCCCAGTGCTGGATGAGGACGCTTCATCTCATCCCACACAGGTGGGTGGGGCCTCCAGACCTCAGTTTACAGCCGGAGCCCCATTCAGCTGACCAGCCAACCGCTGCCACGCCCCAGCCGCCCACCTTCCCCTTTTGGCTCCTGGCGCCGCGATGCGCCTCCCGTCTGCGCCCACGCTCACCCCATTGGTGCTGGGCCGCCGTGGGCGCGCGTCAGGTGAGCGGCAGACAGAGTGGCAGGCCCAGCTCACCTCCTTCCCGGCGGGACGGGTGCCAGGGCTGCGCTCTTCCCGGAAGGCGTCCAAGCTCCCCCGCATGGCATCCCGTTGAGCCTGTTCCTGGGGTGCGGGGGCAGGCCTCTGGGGGGAGAGTGTCTGCCCCTCGCTCTGTCCCGGCGCCAGCGCTTCCTGAGGCCCCTGGCGGAGTTGCCGGAGGGAGGCAGGCTGCACCAGGGCCGGGGACGGGGATGGCTGAGGTGGGAGTTGTCTGGGATGCGCCCCACTAGGGGCAGCCCCGCAGCCCTGGGCCGACTTAGGTCGGTGCCGCTGACCCTCGGTGTCTGGGGCTCCCCTGGAGGGTGCGGAGCCCTCCCTGTGCCCTGGGCTGGGCCCCGCACCCACAGAGGGGCGTAGGGGCTGAGGCGGCCCTTTGGCATTGCCCACTCTGGCTTGCCAACCCCCAATTTTCAATGTCCTTAGAAACCGGGGGAGTTCTGGGGAGGAGACGGAAAGGTAGAAGAAGCTCTCCTTGAGCAACCTGAATGTTTGCACCCCAGTGGTAAGAGATGAGCCTTCCAGGCTACTGGGGCCCCAGGTCTGTGCCCTGGAGCCTCATCTGCCGACCCCCTGGTGGGAAGGAAGTCTGCTTTAGAACACCTTCTTCCGATCCTTGGCCTTGAAAAGGGGACTGCGTGGCACCCAGCACCCTCTTCTCCTTCACCTCGTGTCTTGAGCAGAACATGTCTCTTGGCCTTTGGGAAGCAGTGTGCCCGTCAGCCCTCAGTTCCCCAGGGAAGCCTTGCGGGCCCCCTGAGGGGCCTGAGTGGCTCAGAGGAGGTGCAACAGCCGACCTGCCCACTTCAGTCTGGTGACTCGGGTGGTGGGTGGACATGCAGGTGTCTGCCTAGACTCCCTGTGTCATCTTAAGGAGAGAACGTCAGGCCGTGCCTCAGTTTCCCCGGGGGGGCTTCTCTCACAGTGCCGGGAGGACCTCACGGTGTAAGATACAGTGTGAAAGGGGAGAGCAGAGAACAGAGTGAAGCGTGGTGAGCGAGCGGACCCAGGGAGGCCCTCCGGCCCCCGAACAGGGACAGGCCTCTGCTTCCTGGGAGGCAGGGACCGGTGACCACAAATCAGTTGTGCTGCTTCGAGGCGCGAGGGTGTGCAGCCCGTCACATCCGAGGAGGCTGAGCCCCCCTCCTCCGGTCTGTGGGCCAGCGCCTGCGTGGTGAACTGCGGCATGGGCAGGCACACGGGCTGGCAAACTTCTGTTGGAGGTCGGTGGCGAACCCCATGGGACTGGGACCAGTGGGACCCTCCAGCCTCCTTGACCCCGACGCCGGTCTGGCGGGGAGGGACCGACAGGTAGCCGGGTGCCCTGTTTCTCCTTGATGCCTACGTGGATGTGTCCTGGTTTGAGCTCCCTGAGAGCCGGGAATGGAGGAGACCCTATGAAAATGATGATATGTGACAATCAGTCACAGCAATTAGTGTTTTGGTTAACAGGCCTTTTTTGTTTTCTCTCACCCAGACAGAATGTCACAAATAAATCCTCTCCTGCATTTGCATATTAATTGGATCGGAGACGTCAAGCATCTTTCATTAAAGAAAATGATCTGCATATTTGGAGACATAAAATAGTTATTTTGATGGGTTTTTTTCCTAAGATCAGGGGGTGGGGGAGGTAGGTGATAGGAGCAAGCAGAAATTGAGGTAGGAGTGAAGGCAGAGCCAGCCCGTCCCTCCCGTCTGGAGTTAACCCTGTGCCGTCTGGCGTTGATGGGCCAAGTCTGGGCAGAAGCTCATTAACACGGAAATAAGTCCAGGAGTCCAGGGGCCCTGGGCAATGAGCAGTTGCCCGAGTCCCAGGAGCCCAGCTTGGCCCTGCGCAAGAGGGATCCCCACCGGAGTATCTGTGGGGGGGGGGGCGGGCTATCCCGCTGGGAGCATTTCCCCAGGGCAGCGGGCAGTGGGCAGCTGGAGCCCTGGCTTGCTCTGTCCTCCCCCCCTCACCTTGGCCCCTGAGTCAGCCCGCCCATCCAGCCTCCCGCCCTTCCCTTCCCCTGGGCCTACCCAGCTGTGCCCACTTACTGCATACTTTCTGACCTTGGGCCTCTCTGTGCCCTTCCCATTCCTTGCCAGTCATCCTCCCCCTCCCCAGATGGAAAGTTTTCTGGAGGCAGCAGAAGCAAAGCCTGGAGTCATTATCACACACACTCGAAATAACCCAGAAAGCTGCTGGGCCCATATTAGGGCATGAGTCCCGGTGCAAAGCCGAGCGAATGTACAGTTTTTGATAGGCGAGTCACCCCGGTTTCCCCTGCTGCCTTACATCCGAGGTCCTGGTTGGCTCTGTCGGCCAGTTCAGTTCCCTGGGCAGGCACCAGGGACCGCCTCCTCCAGACATTTCTGAGCTCCCCCAGCCTCCTGCGGGAGCCTAGGAGGGAGGCTGGTCAGTGACATCCCACTTGGCTTCCCAGTCTCTGTGCCGTCGCCTGCCCCAAAGTCACGATCCCTCTTGCTGTATCCTGGTGAGAGAGGTGCTTAGGTGATGGTGATGGTAGTGGTGATGATTGTGACGAGGACTGCCACCGTGTTTTGCACATGGAAAATGTGTAGTAGACACTTTGCTAAGAGCTGCGCACTCACCGTCTCCCCGAATCCTGACCACAGGCCTCTGAGACAGGCCCTATCACTGCACAGGTTTGGTTGATAAGGAAATGCAACCTCCGAGAGGCCAGATAAGATGCCCAGTGGTGCCCGTTAGGGTCAGAGCTTGCAGCCAGAGCCCAGCTCCTCACGCCGGGCTGCAGGGCCTCCCGGCAGGGTGGTGGGGACCGGGGCGGGGGGGAGTCCAGCTCCCGCTGCTGCAGTGGCCGCTGGCAGTGGTTCTTGTGCAGGAAGTCAGAGGACTGACGTTGGGACTCTGCCTCCCTGTGTCTCTGCATCCTCCGTCCCCAAGAAACCCTGCCCATGTTCACAAGATTTGCCCCCCCGAGGGCTGAAGAGCTGCCCTCACAGGGTAGGGGGCCTTGAACCCTGGGGGTACCCCTTTGGTCCCTACAGGGACCCCCTGTGCTCTTCGTGTGTGGTTTCACTTCGAATTTTGAAGTGCCCAGTACCTCTCTGCCCTGCCGGCTCTGGCCTCACTGTGCCACAGGCTCCTGGACTCCTGGGAACCGGCCGAACGCTAGGGCTGGGCCTGGCAGCCCCGCACACTGCGTCCTTCTGGTGGGGCAGCCTCTCCTCGCACCCTGAGCACCTGTAGAAACCCGTCGGTTTGGTGCTGCCTGCGCCGCCGTGCTGTCTCCCAAGGACCCCTTCTTCCCCGCACCCAGATTCCAGATGTTTGGCATCTGCAGCCTCTGCCCATCACCTCGAACGTCAGACCTCGCTCTTCTCCGCCGTCTCCCGCAGGCGCACTGCTCCTGCCTCGGAGCGGAAGGCAGTGAAGTGTACGCCTCCCTTCTCTGAGTCGCGTTTGCTCCCTGGCCAAAAGGGGGCAGCGGTCCCTCCTCTGGGCAGGGGTCTGAGCGGTAGCTTGGCTCACCTACGTTGAGTGCCCAGTCGCAGGCCTGGGATGGTGTGGGCCCCGAAAATGCCAGCTGGGAGGCAGTGCTGGGGTCAGCTCTCCTCCCCGGGGGTCAGGACTCTGGGCGGGGGGTCTCCCAGGCTGGGGGCCGTGGTGTTGCCTAAGGTGCCTGGCGGTTCCGCCCCAGCTCGTCCCTTTCCCACCGGCTGCCCCTCAGTGACTTCGGCTGTGTGTGCCCCTGGCGGGGCAGGTGGGGCCTGGTGGCCCACAGGTTTGGGGTCCTGGGAGAAAGGGCCTTGGGAGCTCCCCTTGGGGAGCAGGTGGACTGGCCGGGTGTTTTATGGAGTCTGGGGGCGTCCTGCGGCAGCTGTATCTGTTAAATGCCAAGGAACCAAGTGGGTTTAATATGATTGTAGCTGCTGCTTTGATAAATCAAAATAATTAAAAATAATAAATTTGATTCCTCAACCAACAGGCTGTGTGTGGGCACAGGGCCTGGGCTGCCGAGCCAGGCGCTGGGGGGTGGGAGACACCCCGAGACACGGGAAGGCCTGTCTGTGTGGGGTCGTGACCCGGGAGGCGGACGCGCGCTCGGCCCGGGGAGGAGGGTCTTTCTCTCGGCAGGGCACTGGGTCGAACTCAGTTTCCTCATCTGTCAAGTGGGGTGGTAGTTCCGTCCCCTCATAGCCCTGTGTGAGGCACCAAGGCCGTGCTGAGCCCAAGGTCGAGGCTGATGTGAGCCCCAGTCAACCTCTCGGTCCTGCCCTATTACCCCAGCCTGGCCGGCCCCATAGCCGACTGGGGCTCTTCCTCCAGCTGCCGGCTGCCGTCCTAACACAGGATCGTCCTGTGTATGAGGACGTCCCCTGCTGCAGGATGAGTCTACTCATAGCTGTTTTTGGCTCCGGGGAAGTGGGGGCAGGAAGCACTCGGTACTCCCTGCGGACCCCAGTCCCCGGTCAGGGTGCCAGAAGCATGGGTGGGTGGGAGTCGGAGCAGACCGCCAGGCCGAGTCCCTCTCCCCTTGCCCCCTTCCCACTGAGGCGGCCGTATTTGGTGTCAGATCCAGAAGCGCCTGAGTAGCTGGAAATCTGAACTGAGTGGAGGGAGCGGGGCTGGTGGGGAGGGAGGGACAGGGTGTCTGTCTCTTTAAATGCACTTTGTGTCAGTGTGATAAGGAATTTGATGGCTTTATCAGAAATACCAAAGCTTTATTTAGCAGGGTGAGGCTCACACCACTCAGCTCCACACAATCTGCTGATAAATTGCAAAAACGAAAAAAACCAACAACTCACCAACACCCAGCGCAGCAAGGGAGGAAAGGTGAGGTAGACGGAAGGGCAGAGGCGCCAAGTTGGAGGTTTCAGGACCGTGGCGCTGCAGGGAGCGGGAGTGGAGGGTGGGCACGGTGGGAACTGCAGGGGTTTGCTCCAAAAACACTGACACGCAGGCGATTCTTCCTTTCTCCGGGAGGCCTCTGTAGGATTTTCTGGTATTAAGTAAAAAATACTATAATTATTTTTATTCTCCCAGAGAAAGGGCTGGTTGAAGAGCCGTGAAGCCCTCCTCACTGGCTTTTCTCTCCTCTCATGCCTGTCCCTCCCCCAGCCCCCCAAGTCTCCAGGTGAACCCTTCCGGCCACCTGGGCTGTGCGCGCAGGTGCAGGCAGGGCCGGCGGTGGGTGGGGGATGTCAGAAGAATGTAGGGGAGACTATCGGGGAGTGGGGCGTTGCCCATCACAGCAACTCTGAGAAAGGGTGTCCCCACTCCTCACATGTGGCCAAGGGGCCTGGGAAGGGGAGGGCTTGTGCCGACGTGGGATGGGACTTCGTGCCCACAGTGCGGTCTCTGCCCAGGCCACGGGGGGAGCCTGGGAGCGGTGGCATGGCCCTGCCTACCTGTGGCCTTCCAGGACTCGCCAGCTCCCTGCCAGTAAGGCGTCTCTTGGGGACCCCCTGCCGGCCCTGGCCACTCTGAATTTCTCGTGCCTCCTGGAAGGTCAGCAGAAGGACAGAGGGATGTTTCCATCTGTTTCTTCCTCCTGGAGCCTCTTCTTTGCCCCGTATGTGCCTTCCCGCCCCAGTTGCTCAGAAGAGCCCCGGCTCCTCCTCCAGTCTCCTGGTCAGCGCCCCGGCTCTCACAGGTCAGCACCTGATACCCTCTTGACCGTCCCCCCTCCCCCTTGGCCTTCTGCTCCCCGTGAATCTTTCCATGTGAGCAAACCAGATTTAGGCCGTGGTCCCCAGCCACGCCTCTTTGAGCGGTGAAGGTTTGGCCTCTTCCAACCGGCTTGTGCACCCGACTTCCTCTGGAGACCAAGGCAGGTGCCAGTGCTCTGGGTCCTTACTCCCTGTGTAGGTGGGGGTGGGGTGGGTGTTAGGGGTCGTGGAGAAAGAGGTACCCCTGCTCCTCCAGTGTCCTGGGGGGCTGCCCGCCGTCTGGCTACGCAGGGCACTCCTCCTACCCAAGCTGTCCAGCTCCTGGCTCCTCAGCCCTTTGTAGTGGCCACAGTCTGGCAGAGCCAAGGGCTTGGGGCTTGGGGTCCTCACTGTGGGCTCTGCCTGTCCCAGCCAGGTTCAGGGCTGCTTCTGCTGTCCTCCACCCGTGTTCTGCTCGCTGCCTTGAAGGGTTGGCTGAGCAGGGGAGGTCTCTGCCCACAGGTGTGTCCTGAAACATGCCCACGAGCTGACCCCTCGAAGAGGAGGGAGGCTGGACAAGGCTAAAGGGTGCTTCAGGGGCAGTTACGGGGAGCGCAGAGTCAGACCGACCGAAGGCGGGGAGAAGCTCAGTTTGAGAACAACTCCCGCACAGAGCGCCCTCCCCCTGGGACGAGGGAGGGGCTGAGCCTGTGCGCTCGCTCCCTCCCTCGGGGCCGTGAACCAGAGGGAGCCCCGGCCGAGGGGAGGCCCGCAGGCCCAGGGCTGGCCGCAGGTCTGTCTCAGGAATTCGGCCGCTGTAGATAGTGGGGCAACAGGATTAGCACAGCCGTGGAGAGAGGGGAAAGGCTGGGCGGAGAAACAGGGGAGATTGGAGGAGCGGGAGGGCCGGGCTGGCCAGAGGAGGGCAGAGGGGGGAGGAAGCTGCAGAGAGGCTGCCGCCGGGAGACAGACAGGAGGAGTAAGTGGAAGTGACGGGGTCAGGCCAGACCTTTGTCCCGCAGCCTGATTAGAGAGTCTGCCCTGGATTTCTGAAACTTTGGGATGTTGTCGGACAAACTGGAGCTTAATTCTGTCAGAGCGCTGGGGAGATTAGAATTGACATCCTGGGAGCACATTCCTGGCTGGGCAGAGATCCAGACCCTGCTGGGAAAAACCTGTGAGAGCGGGCGGCTCAGCGGCGGTGGCAGGGGGTGGCTGTCCGCCCCAGTGGCCACTTGGGCCTGCAGGTTGGAGCCAGGAGCTTCCGGAAGGCCAGGCTGCATCACCGCGAGGCTCGGGCCTGGCAGAAGGACTGGGGGCACAGCCGAGCCCCTCCGAATGTAAATCCTGGCTCTGTCCCTTTCCCTGGCTGTGTGGCCTCGTGGAGAGACCTTACGTGTGTTGGGCCTCAGTTCTGTCATCTACAAACAGGGGCAGGCCTGCCTTTTGGACCAGCCGGACCCCTTTTCTTTGAAGGCAGAGGCATAGCCCCGGGGAAGCAGAGAGGACCGGGTCAGGCTCTTCTCCACGCTCAGCCGCAACAGGGCCAAAGTTGTCCTTCACTGGGCTCCCAGCGCTGGGCCTCCCTGAGGGAATGCCCCAGCTCAGAGGCACGGAGGGCTCCTGCCCCTGCACCAACTGGGTCCTTTCCAGCAGCCACGAGGAGCTCGCAGTCATCCCTAGAGATGCTCAAACTAAGTGAGCCCTGAGGAGCAAGGTGGGCCTGCCCTCCAGGAGCTCCCGGTCCAGACGGCTCCCCACGGACTGAGAGGCGCGGTGGGAGGACTGGAGTGAAGGCCAGCGCCGTAGCCCCCCCACGCGGGCGTTTCTACAAGAACTGAGTACCCCCGCCCCACTTCGCTCCTGATTCTAATGACTTTTAAATATTGGTAAATATTTTGGCGAACGCAGGCTCTTGTGGCGGAGAGCAAAGCCGTCTGCAGTGCGGGGCCTGCAGATTATTTATTAAAGATCCGAGCTGCGGTGCAATTACGTGGCAAGAACCCCAAAAATGAAATAAATAAGTAACAAAATAAATAAATAACCGCCACACTGGCCCCTGGAAGGCTTGGGGAGCTGCAGAGATGATTGCCGTCTTGATGAAATCCCCCCAGATGTAATGAGCTGATTTTCTGCTGTTAATATTGCATCTGCTGATGAAGGATTCGTTAGGATAATGGAACGAAGCTAAAATATAAATGACTCCCTGTCAAGAAGCAGCTTTTGTTTGTCGATCTCCTGACAGTTCCCGGGCCAAGGCAAGGGTTTCCGTGTGCACAGCATTCAGGAGCAGGCGGGGGTGGGGGCACACTGAGGGGTGGGGCGCTGCCCCCAAGGCCTGGCTCTGGTTATCCTGGGCTTTCCCAGCAAGGTGGGGAGCCCTAGGGTCCTGGGTGTGGAGAGTCACTGGCTCAGACCCTCCTCTTCCATCCGGAGGTCGGCTCATCGCCCAAGCTGCTGGGCTGCTGCAGAAGTTCCCTGGGAGCCTGGCAGAGACACGGATGGGCTGGGCAGCACCTGTTAGGACCCACTCATGGGAGGAGACCTGGTGTGTGCATGTGCAGGGGACCAGCAGCACCGGGGATGGGGAATCGTGGGCATTTGAGTGACGCATGTCCTGGGGGAGGCCCATCACGGGGGCAGCCTCGCCTTCCTCTGCTGCTGTCTTTTCCCTCAAAGGTCTGGCGCGGGCTCAGGCGCACCAGTCGGGCAGTCGTGGTCCACGCCATCCTGGGGAACAAGGGGGCGAGTGGACCCACCTGAGACGGCAGATTCACCCTGCCGCCACCTCGCGTGACTTTTCTAACACTCGCGAGCTGGGCAGCTGCATGGGAGTGCCCTTCTCTCCTCCCGCCACTGCCTCTGCTTCTTCGTTTTACTTACTGTGGTAAAACACACACGACAAAGTGTGCAACTGAGACCATGTGAAAGCGTGCGATTTACTAGCATTAAGTGTGGTTACAGTGCTGTGCAGCCACCGCCGACGCCCCGCTGCAGAACTTTCCTGTCGCCCCCCGGACGGAAACTCGAGGCCCAGCGGCAGTGCCCCCCGAGCCCACTCCCCCAGCCCCTGACAGCCACTCACCTGGCTTCTGCTCGTTCTGGACGTTTCATAGAAATGAAACCACATGGCACGTGGTCTTCCGTGTCTGGCTTCTCTCCCTGAGCGGACATGTTTTCAAGGTCCATCCTTGGCGCAATGTAGAGGAGAGTTTCATTCTTTTCACGGCTGAATCAGAGTCCACTGTGCGGTTGGGCCACGTGTTGTTTATCCACGTGGCTGGGCGGTTGGTGCGTGTCCACCTTTCGGCTAGCGTGAATAGAGCTGCTATAAACAGTAATGCACAGTTTTGGTTTGAGTCCCTCTTCCCCGCTCTCCTGGGTACCTACCTAGGAGCAGAATCGCTGGATCTCTCCTTGGCTTCTTCAGGGCAGGGCCCTGGATGCTAACGACAGGTCATATTTATCGGGCACTTCCTGTGTGCCAGACCGCAGGGCTCCACGGGGACTCTCTCTGCCCGTGGCAGGCTCCATTCTCTGTGTCTAGGACAGTATCCGGCATAAAGTAGGTGCTCGAGGAATAGGCACCGAATGAACTACCTTTGAGGTGGGGACTCTTTATCCCGACTTTTCAGCGGAGAGAAGCGAAGCAGCCTGCCGGCCTCAGGTCGCGTGGCAGTGAGGGGCAGAGGCGGGCGTCCAGCCCGGGGCTCACCGACTCTGCCCTTCCTCTCGCATGCCGTGCGTCCTGCCTTGCTCCCGCCTCGCCTGGTGTCCTGTGCTCAACCGGTTCCCGATGATCCCGGTGGAACAGGGATGGGGAGAGACCTCGAGTCAGTCTACCTGGCAGAGGGCTGGGTGGGGCCCGGAGATGTGTTGTCTGTCTGTGCCTCTGTCTGCAGCGCACGCCTGTCCATCCAGGGAGGCACTGCCTCACCTGAACGGGGCTGACAAAGGCAGACTGGACACTGCTGGGTACCCCTCTCAGCGCCCTGGGGAAACCTTGCTGGCGCCCTTGGCCAGAACCACCGCTAACCTTGATTTTCAAGGCCCTTAGACAGAGGGAGAAGAAACCCGGCCACAGACCTGGACCCTCTTCCTGGGGAGCCGGTCGGAGGCACCGCTCCCTTCTGGGACATGGGGGCGTTTCTTCCCCTTGTGGGGGTCTCAGGAGGGGTGAGGAGGCTGGCTCCTCTCCTGGAGGGAGCCCTGAGAGAGGAAGGCAGGGTCGCCCATCCCAAGTCAGGCCAGGTCTGTCTCAGTTTCTGAGATGGGAGAAGAAAGGAGGCAAGCTGGCGTGGGGACCACGCAGGGCAGCCCCGGGCCGATGAGCTGAGGGCCCCCGGCAGCCAGGTCTGCGATGGGAAGGGAGGAGAGAACGAGGCCCCAGGCTGGTGTGAAACCAGCAGAGGCTCCCTCTGCGGGGTGGGGGCTGGGGGGGGCCCACTGGGCACCTCCCAGCTCACTCACTTACTCATTTGAAATTCTCCCTGAGCCAGGGCCAGAGAGAACATGGTGGGAAAGCCCCGTCCCTGTCCCGAAACAGCCAGGGCCTCCCTCTTGACCCTGGACAGATTTTTTCAGGACTCTGGCCAAATTCTAGCCAGGACTGTGTTTGGAAACTCCCAGAGCTGACCCAGAGACCTGCTCGACTCCGGGGGCTGGCAGCCACCGCCACCTGCCTGCCTGGGGAGGCCCACTGCCTTTCCCCAAGCTGGGGCGGGTGACCCACCCCGGCTGCCGCCCCGTCCAGCTCCGGGAGCGCCTGCTGGGTTGTGCTGGGCCCTCGGCTCCCCACTGCCCCGCTAACCACTGTGTAAAAGTTCCGGGCCCCCTTTGACCTTTCTGTTTTGCCCGGTTATGCCGCGGCCGTCCCACTGACAGGCATCCCCTGGCATCAGTGCCGGGTTAGCTGCTCAGCCCCTGCCGTGGCCCTTCTCCCCTGGTTCCATTCCTATTCTCTCCTTCTTTCCCCCTTTCTTGCTCCCTCCCTCTCTTTCTCTCCCTCTTGTCTTTTTTCACTCTTTTAACATGGTTTTCCTAAAAAGTTTTTTAATCAATCAAATTTGAGGCAGAAAATAGGTTTTGTCACGCCTGGTCCCGGGGTGGTGTGGCTCTCACTCAGACTCCTGACAGCTCCTCAATGCAGGAAGGAGGCCAAACAGAATATTTCTTGGGGAAAGTGCCCGTTTCCATGACACTGCCCCTTGTTGTCTGCGCTGCCCCCCTCCTCAAGCTGCCGGCTGACATGGCCCAGCCCCTGTGAAAGGGCCCGGCCAGGGGGAGGGTGTGTGTGAGGATGGGGGGAGGGGGCAGGGGACAGCGTTGGGGGGTAGATGGGCGGCCGGCAGCTGCCCTGAGCCTCCGTGGCCTGAGGAGCAGGTAGGGGCACGGCAGGGACGAGGGGCCTGGCCTGGTGCTGCATAATCATCTGGGCCTCATAAATATGGAGCCCGGAGCCAGGGGTGAGACTCTCGGAAGCCAAGTCCTGGAGAGTTGGTGGCTGCAGCCAGAGGGGACCGCGGATGGGTGAGACCTCTTCAGGTCCCAGCATGCTGGTCCCAGCAGCTTCTTCACCCTTCCCTCAGGCCCCTTTCCCTTCTCTCCTGGGTTTCCCCTCTCCACCCTCCTTGCCTTCCCTCCTGCCCTCCCTCCTCTCCAGCACCTCTCGTGCAGGGGGAGCCTCTGGCCCCTCCCAGTTCCCAGGCCCACGACCCCCCAGTCCAGCACCCAGCAAGTTCCCTGTGTCTACCCCACTTTCCCTCTTTCTCCTTCCCATCTCCATCTTTAGCCCTCTTCTCTCTCTTCTTGCTCTCTCTTTTATAATTAATGATTAGTTTTAATTGGTTTGCTTAGGCAGCCTAATAGCGAATTAACAGAAGCCAGCCCAGGGCTTCCAGATTCGGGCAAGAGAGAGACCACGGTGCCTCAGGCCTGGCCAGGGGAAGTCTGCCTTGGCCCGTGGGCTGCCTGGGCCGGCTCTCAGTGGGAGGGCCCGGCCACACCTGGGCGGCACAGCAGCCAATGGGAAGAAGGCAACAGGATCTCCACCGGGCTCCTGTTGGTCAGCTCTCTCTGTGCTCCTATTCTCCCCCTTTCCGTGTTCTCGTCCACATGCAGGACGCTTCAGACGAGGGCCAGGCACAAGGAGGGTGGGCGGGGTCCGGCCTTACCCTCAGACAGGGCTGGATTTCCATCCCACCCTGTTCCCTCCCGCCCTGAGCCGAGGGGGTTCGAAGCCTGACACCTGGGGGTGGACATCCTGCTTCTTCTCTTGTTCAGGAGGGAGCGGTCACGGGCTGTTGTTAGCCCAGCTGCCTGCCCACGGTCAGCCGTACAGCCTGGAAGTGCCGGGTACCTCTACAAAGAACTCAACCTCTTGGTTCTCGGTTTTCTGGTCAGAGTACTTAGGATAAAGCAGGTTGGGTGGATGGGCAGTTGGCAGAGAGTGGATACGGCAGTCATGGTTTCTGAGCATGTCACTTCTCTGTCTCAGCCAGTAAGGACAGGCTTAGCCTTCCTGCGTGTAGGGCCTCTGCTGTCCTCTGGTTTCCTGCTCTGTACCTCCCCCTGGCTTCACAGAATCCTTCCTGAACTAGAGCAGCTTTCGGATTCTCCGCTGGGCCCTGGGTACACCCGGTCCCTCACTCACACGGGCCAGAACCAGACGCCAGGGACGGTGAGAGGCAAAGACAGACAGGAGAAGATGCCCGGACAAGAACGCAGAGATGAAGTTGAACTTCCCAGGTCCCCGCTGGGGTTCCGGAACCCACCCAGTGTCCCACGTTCCACCCACCTACAGCCCCTCTGCTCCTACCAGCCAGGCGACCCGCCCCCGGGGGGCAGGTGAGGGGCAGAACCCCAGGTCCGCTCCGGTCCCCACGAGGCGCGCGCGTCTCCGCCCCTCCCTCCCCTCCTCCACCCCGACCAACTCCAGGAAAGTTTCCTCCCCGGTCGTTCTGTGTGATCAGATCTGCAAGTTGCTCTCTAAGCTCCTTGTCACATTTTGACTTAATGAAGTGCAACTGCTGAGGGATTTGGGTTCAGCGCTCCGGTCTCCGCGCTCCCTTGTTGTCAGAAAACAGGGCTGGTTGGGGACGGCAACACTGCACAGCGAGTCGTTATCATTCCGGTCAGTCTGTTTAACACAAAATTAAACAAAGAACTAATTAGTGCCTCATGAATTAATAAATGCACAGTTGCCGGGGAGGATGGAAGGGGAGGAAAAAGGTGGTGGAAGGGAGATACTGGGGTTGTGGAGTTGGGGGCTTTGGGGGTCCAGGGGAGGCTGGCCAGGGTGCCTGGAGAGAGCTCAGGCGGGCCGGTGTGGGATGGACAGGGCCCGGGCGGGTCCCTGGGCCAGCGGACCGGCTGGGACATGAGCTGGGACGTGAGCTGGGACAGTGCAGCCTGCCCAGTGCCTCTCGGCCGAGCCCCAGGGTCTCCATCCCTTGCCCCAAGGCCCAGCCCTGCTTGGCCTCCACGTCCTCCGCTCTCCTCTCCCACCTCTTCCCTTTCCCACTCCTCCAACCTCTGCCCCCGCTTCTGCATGGCTCCCCTTCCTCTCTGCTGCCCCCTGTCTCAGTCCGCCCAGCTCTCTGCCAACTCCCCGCTTCTCACCGCCTGGACCAGATGGGCGGGTGCCAGAGGCCCACGGGGCAGCCCTCCCCAACTACTCAGTGCCCACCAGAGCCCCGTGTCCAGCAAGGTGGGCTCTGCCCGGGTGGGCACCCCTGCTGAGGCAGCCGGGCAAAGGCAGCAAAGGCTGGCGGAGGACCCAGCCCCCCCTGAGGAAGAGGTGTCAAGCACAATTAATACCGTCTGTCTAAATACGTCCTAAGAAGGGCGGGTGGGCGGCAGGATTGGGTGGCATTCTGGGAGCCCCGTACAAGGTCACCTCACCTCTCGCAATCCCTCAATCTGATTTGGGGATTACACAGCCTAAGGAAACTGGTGTTATTCCTCTTGCATTGTTGATAAGCCACAGACGAGGAGTAGGGAAGAAAACACACAATAAAGAGAAACCCTTTTCCCACTGTGGGTAGAGTGCGGAGGCCCGGGGGTGGGGGTGGGGCTGGGAGAGGCGGGGCCTGGCTCGGGCGAGGGCTGGGGGGGCCCAGGTCAACAGGCAGAGGGCTCCTTGGGTTTTTCATCCAAGGGAGTCTGTCCATTTGACCTTGGCTCCCCAAACTCGCTCTGAGCAGGATGGCCGGCCAGTGAGGTGATCAAAGACCTCCACCGTTCACGCTCTCCTTACGTGGGCCCCACCCAGCGTTGAGTGACTTACGGGCAGGGCCCTGGGGTGGAAGGCACCCTCAGCAGCCTGTTCCTGGGAGTTGAGGCCCCTCAGCGCCGTGGCCCTGGTCTGCCCCTGACCCTCAGTCACCCACTTGCTATATAGTGAACAGTTTGGTATCTGGGGTTTTATTTCCAGGGGCTGGGGAAGAGGCTGAAGGAGCCCGGCCCTGATGCTTGGCTTGCAGCTCATGGGGAACCCCCCCCCCCCCGCACAGTCCCACCTGTTGCCTCTGATCTCTGGTTGGGGCGCCCTGAGGGCGGTGTCTCCGTGTGATCAGCCCCTGCTACTTTCTGAATGTTTTCACATTTTGGTCGGCATAGACTTAAATGTTAAGAATCAGTGTCCTTTCAGTGCGTCTAAATTTTTGACCCCCTTGTCTGGCCCTGGAGCATCAGCCTCTGGGCCCAGCGGTGGCAGGGAGCCCCCAGGGACCCCGCAGGGTGGTGGGCGTCCTGGTCCGAAAAACTAACGGGGCCCCTCTCTCTCTTCAGGATGAAGTGACGCCCCCCCCACTGCAAAAGAGGAACCTCTAGGACCTGCTGCAAGGTAAGGCCCGAGCCCCTGCCTGACCCAGTGTCCCCTCCCCCACTGCCGAACCCTGGCCTACTTACTGCAGGTGCCCCCTGGTCCCGCTGAGCATCCAGGAAGGATAGGAAAGCGAGAATGGGGACCACCTTGCCCATCTGAACCCAGTGGGAAAGAGGCCTCAGCAGGAATGTCTCAGATTGGCTCTTAAGCTGGAAACGGCCTGGGGACACCTGGACTGCAGTCTTTGGGCACAGAACGTGTTCGAGGTGGCTCAGGGCAGAGGGGCACTTGTGGTGCCAGGGCTGCCCGCCCACTCGGTGGCAGGACGCACAGCCCTTGACAGCCCCGTGTGCCTGCTGTGGGGGCTGCCTGCTGTAGCTCGCCGGGAACCTCGATGACTTGGGAAGAAGCTGCTGGTCCCCCAGTGGCCTCCCCCTCCCTCCACGTGAGGCTGGCAGGGAGGAGGCCTCAGGCCCAGAGCCCAGAGCAGGCTGCTGTCTTGCCCTTCCCCAGGCCTAGGGCTCCCCAGGCATGGCCTTCACAGGCGCTGTCAGACCCTGAGTGGCTCCAGGAACCTGGGGGCCACCGGGCCTAGGCCCCAGGCAGCTCCGTGTCAGAGGTGACCGGTGGAACGCCAGTGTTATGTAAATAGCGGGGCCTGCCCGGCGGGCGAGCTGACTGGCTGCGGCCATCCATCATCCCTGCTCCGCGGGGCGGGGGACAGACAGGGCACCGTGCGCCTGGCTCCAAACCTGTTTGTTTTCCCTTTGTCTCACGCGTTTTGGGCCGGCTGCGACCGGCTCCGGGTTTTGTCCCGATGGCCCCCTCCTGCCGCAGGACGGGGCGGAGGGAGGAGATTTGAGAGGCTCCCACCGCGGCATCTCTTTCGGACTTCAAAGGCTCCCCCAGCATTGTCTGTGCCGGCGGGCAGTGGCCCTGAAAAACGTGATCAGAGGCGGCCGGTGTAGGGCAGGCCCGGCCCGCGCCCTGCGCTCTCGCTGGGGCCCGTGGATTCCTCCCTTTGCCACCAGCACCACCCTGGTTACAGCTCTGCTCCCCGGGCCTCTCCCCGCGCCTCCCTCTCCCCTGGTGTCCCTGCCGGCCAGCCCAGCCGGCTGCCCCACTCCGGGCCTCCTGTCTCACTTTGCCACGACCTCACATCCCTCTCTGGGCGTGGAGACTGTTGGGAGCTACAAAGGCTCCACCCTTTCACCTCCTCCGAACAGTGAAGGGCGTCTTAGGATGGTGGGATCGGGACAGACGGGTGCTGGACATCTGCTTCCCATGCCAGCCCTGTGCTCCTTCCCTTCTTTTTCTCCATCCTCTGCCCATCCCCGTCCTCTGCTTCTTGGCAAGGTCCAGGCTGAATACTTCCGTCCCCCAGACACTGGGACGGAGCCTGGCGTCCCTGGTCCTGAAAGTCAGCCCTAGACACTTCCATTCTCTGCAGCAAGACTTGGCAAAGTACAGCCAGGGGGCCAAATGTGGCCCACTGCCTGCGTTGTAAATAAAGTTTTATTGGAACACAGCCACGCCCACCCATTTTCGTGTTGGCTATGGCTGCTTTCACCCTACAGTGGCGGAGTCTGGGTAGCTACAGCAGAGGATGTTTGCCTGCAAAGCCTAAAATATTTGCCATCTGGGTCTTGACAGAAAAAAATTTGCTGGCTCCTGCCTTCTGCTTTCTCCCTCTCTTTTTTAAGTGGTAATATACAAAACATGAAATTTAACATTGTAACTGTTTTTGAGAGGACAGCTTCCTCATTCCACCCCGTGCTAATTGCTCTGAGGGGTCCAGGCATCAGGCGCAGAGCCCTGTCCTGGGCTGCTTGCATCCTTGTCTGCGGGGACTGCTTTCTCTCCCTCCTCCCTGTGGGGCCTCAGCCTCTGCTCAGTCCCACGTCCCTAGAAGTCCCTGCGAGAGCCCCTGCTTCCTCAGGCCTCTTGCTCCCGGCATCCCCATCCGTCTTTAGCAAATTCTTAGACCCACCATTTCCTCTTCTGTAAAGTGAACAGTATACATACTTTGCAGGATTCTTAGGACAAGTGAGCGAGTTAATGTAGTCTCAGGTGTCTAGCCTGGGGCCTAACTGGTGCCCCTGTTCCCCCCTTCTCTCCAGCCTCTCCTCTTCCCCCTGGGCAGGTTCCACGGAGTTCCCCACCCCCGTCCCAAAACCTCTGAGTCTGAGTTCTCAAAGAAGGTGAGGCTCGCACCTCCTCCTGGGTAGCGGGCTAGGAGCTGTTGGAGATCTCAGGTCGGTCCTGGGTTCTCCACATCCGCTGCTGGGGCCTGGGACGCTTCGTAACCAGTTTCTCCATGTATGAGACTGTCCTGACCACGACGCGCCCCACGTCACAGGCTTGTTGCAAGTAGGGGGCTAGGGTGCCCGGGGTGTGTGTGGGGGGAAGCTGTGCAGGTTGCACTGGGGCGCTGCCGCCAACAGGGAGGCTGGATGCCTCGTGGTGGGCGTTTGCTGTGCCTGCGCAGGGGCAGGGACCATGGCCACTCTGACCCATTACTGCGCTGTGAGCTAATGTGGGAGCCGGGCTCCAAGCCCCAGAGGAAGGGCTGGCGAGGGGCGGGGGAGGAAATGAAGCTGTACAGCAGTCAGAGGTCTGCGACCGGAGCGGTGTCCTGGCACCGGCCACCGGCCGCCCGCTCCTGCTGCGGCTGCCGCTGGCACCCTCCCTGCCCTCTTTGCATGGGCTCCAGGCCTCGTGGACACCTCTCCTTCCCACGCCCCGCAGGTTTCTCTCTGCGCCCCACCAGTTTCTCCCCTTCCTCTCTTCCCCACCACCCACACTGCTACACCCCAACTCCACACTGGCTCTCTCTCTCTCTCTCCTTTTCATCTACTCCGAAGGCTTTACTTTACTTCCTTGTCACCCTAATTGATTGCATTAACCTTTCAGCGTATTGGATTTCCTCGGCATCGTGCAGAGAGCCCTGCGCAATATGCTTATAATCTGAGCCATAATGGACAGTTTGCAGTCAACAAGCCCCTTCTCCCATCTCTGCCACCAGTCTGTTGACATCTCTTTTGCCCGGGCCATTGTGGCTACTTCCCCCCACTGGCAGGGACAGGGGCTAGGGCTGGAAGGAGGCAGATACAGCTCGACCCATCCTGGATTTCCCTGACTCTCCCCTCCCGGCTTCCCACCTCCTCCTCCTCCTCCTCCTCCCCGCACCCTGCTTCTTCAAACTCCCCCGCCCAGGTCCTCGCCAGGCCTCTGGTCTTCGAGAGTCCTCTGAGCTCAGCACTCTGCTTCTGCCTAATGAGTGGCTGATGGGCCCAACTTGGATTTGGGGAATAAGAGCCCCTAGGGTTTCACCGAATGGCCCTCAGAGCAAACCCTCTCTCCCTCTCGTGCCTGGGAGGCTCTGGGGGGGAACGAGAGGCGGAGGGGGGTGGAGGAGAGGTGTCTGAGCTCCCTGGGCTCGCCCGGCCCCTGAGCCAATGGGAGGCCTCTGTGCCTTCCATTCTGGAAGCCGGACCCGCTCCTGGAAAGGGTGTGAGAGCACAGGGAGGAGAGAGACACTCCGTGGGGGCTGCCCAAGGGCACAGGCTGCCGCTGCCTCTCCAGGGGACAAGAGGGAGGCACTCGGAGGCCCTGCTGGGGCGCCGTGCCCCACACTGGTCCTGGGATTGTGACTGGGGTGTGCAGTGGGGTGTCTCCGGGTCTCTGTTTCCCATCTGACTTGGGAGCAATTTGTTCACACCCACCTGCCTTCATCAAGTGAAGAGAGGCGTGACATCAGCCGCAGAGCCATCGGCTGGAGAGAATTCTTTGCAGGGCGGGATGCTCGGCCTGACAGGAGACTGGCAGGGGGGAGGCAGGGAAGAATGAGAGCTGGCTTCTCGCCTTGGTAGGAAGGAGCCCCCTCCGCTCGGTTCCCTGATGGGCACCCGCCCGTCTAGCAGAAGGCGAAGGAGCCAGCCCAGGCCAGCTGCGTGGTCCTGGGAGTTCGGTGGGTCCTGGCCCGTAGGTCCTGGCTGGGTTGCTGGCCCTGAGACGTGCAGCCCGGCCTGCTGAGTCTTCATTCACAACAGGATAGATGCTGGGTTGAATACATTAGTGTCAGGCCGGAGGAGCAGGACGGAAGGTCCCCTAGCCCCAGCACTTCCTCTCTCCCACACTGGTCTCTACACCCCCACGCCCCTGCCCATCATCTGCTCCTTCTGACCAACCCTCCCACCCTGCCATCAGTCCATCAGTCCAAAGGGCAAGCTTTGGCGAGAGGAGGCCTGACGAGGCCCTTCCTATCCTCTCCCCGGGATTTTGGGGGTGGGCAGAGGGCGCAGCAGGGAGAAGACAGGCGGCGAATTAAAGTTTGGTGATTGTCAGCGTCAGGAGAAGCTAAATAACCCTGTAACTAGTATGAAGGTGAATTCACGGTCTGCTGCACACGGAAAATATGAGCACTCCGTGAGATGGAGGGAGTGAGCGGCCATCCGCCCGCCACGCCGGGCAGCCTCCTCCCCAGGGACCCGGGCAGGGAGGCGGCAGGAGGGCCACGCACTCTCCCATCGCCGCCAGGGAGCGGCTGCCCGGGGCCCCCGAACAAGTGTGGGGGCAGCTCAGCTGCTTGGCAACCTACGGGCTGGGCACCAGGAACCCAGGGAGGCATTTGTAAGCCCGCGGCAATGTGCCAGCATGGACACCAGCCCAGGCCCTCGGCCAGACCGTCCGTCTCCATCCACCTTCGTCACGACCCCTCGTGGAGCACTCACACTCTGTGCCCCGCTCTGTACTGTGCCCTCACGCAACTCTGTGCCATCCGTGCTGCTGCCGTTCCCCCTTTTGTCCTCACTTTGTTGAGATACAATTTACATGCAAGCGTACAATTCACAAGGTCGTGCAACCGTCACCACTGTCCAATTTTAGAACAGTCTCTTCGCTTGCAGAGAAACCCTGGGCTCATTAGCAGTCACTCCCGGTTCCTCTAGACCCCGGTCTTGGGCAGGCACTGATCACCATTCCCTCCAACACTGAGGCTCAGAGAGGGTCAGTGACTT